GCACAGAAGTGGAAAGCAAGTTGACTTCATCTATATGATATTGCTTGTTGTCACCAAGCATAGATTAAGATGCCCTTAAAGCATATCAGTGGAGTACATATTTGCATTCTTATTGATTCCCTACTAAACCACACAGGCCTAATTAGTATTTTGTGTACTTTATGCCAGGTGTTTGTTTTTCTTCTTGATTGTAATGAGTGTGTAATCGACTTGTGGGAGATTAAAAGGCATGTCAAATGGACAGGAAGTGGTCTCAGCAGGCACACAGGTGTACCATTTTGGTGCCCTTTGAAGGCATAGTGTTATGCTGTATCCACGCCTGACATTCCATAAATGCCTGGGAAGGTGGAGATGAGAGAGTGAAGGACAAAGAGACCTCTGACAGCTCCATAACAACACCATTTAGAGTTCAGGCTTGGTGGGCGGTTGTGACTTTGAAGATCACAGATAGGATAAGGAAATTTCCAAGATGAACATCTGCTTTGCAGAGTAGCCAGTGAGGTCCCACCACCACCCCACGCTTCACTTCCGGGATACAATGTGGGCGGAAGGGCATGAATGCAGACTTTCTGCCACCAAGGGACATTTTATCGGATCTGCATATTTATTCTCTCTTCTGGACAACATTCGGCAGTTTCTTACTCTACAAGGATTTCTAGTTGTAATGATTTAGACTGTAGCTTTCATTTAAAAGTATTTTCTGAATTTTGCCTGAGCACATATTGATATTGTCCCTATGATTCCAAATATTGGTAAATATTGGTTTCTTTTCTCAAAGAAGAAGGAAACCACTTTTGATCTTATGTAGATACATTGGGGGAATTTTAGTCTTCATCTTATTGCCCTCTCCTTCAGTACAACCAGCTGGAGACCAAATGCTCACATATTTTCTTCAGCAGTGTAGAAAGTGACCTTACTTCAGTAATTACCCAAATTGATTGTGTTTGCCTCCTCACATTTGGATAATTTTTGTAGATTGTCACAATAGTATTTTTCTTCCTCCTCTTCTTTCCCTTATATGATTGTTACTTGAATAATAAGAGTAAACAAACAGGCATTTACATTCCATCCCCCCAGCTCATGTCCTCTTTGGTACAATGATAGATTTATGTCAATATTATTAACTTATATCTTATGTAATTGGTTTCAAGAGTTATTTTTATGTTTAGGTTTATGACCATTTGAAAACAGTTGTATGTCTTAAGAGTTTTTGCACCAAGAATTTTGGTTCTGTGTGTGTGTGTGTGTGTGTGTGTGTGTGTGTGTGTGTGCCTGCGTACATGAGCATGTGTGTGCATGCAAGCATTTGTGTTTATTAGTTACTTTTCTTGTCATTTTGGTAGAAACAACTTAAAGAAGGAAGGGTTAACAGTTCAGAGGTCATAGTTCATTATGACTGAAAAGGCAAGTTGGCAGGATCATGAGGTGGCCAGTCACATAAAGAAGCACAGAGCTCAGGCTTAAAGCTTACCAGGCCTTTAACTCCCTGGCCTCTCATGTCCAAGAGATTCTATGACCTTTCAAAATAGCACTGCCCACTGAAGACCAAGTATCCAAACCCATGAGCCTGTGGGGAGGTTTCCTGTGAGGACATCTACACATCTACACTGTGGAATTCAAGAGTCCTGAAGGTTTTCCCTATATAGCAAGGTTTTTCATACATTGGGTTTTGTCCTAAAGCAGTGGTTCTCAACCTTCCTAATACTACAACCCTTTAATACAATTCTTTGTGTTGTAGAGACCCCCAACCATAAAATTATTTGTGGCTGGGCATTGGTGCACACCTTTAATCCCAGCACTCGGGAGGCAGAGGCAGGCGGATCTCTGTGAGTTCCAGGCCATCCTGGTCTCCAGAGCGAGTGCCAGGATAGGCTCCAAAGCTACACAGAAAAACTCTGTCTCGAAAAACCAAAAAAAGAAAAAAAATCATAATTATAATTTTGTTACTGTTATAAAATGTAATGTAAAAATCTGGTATTCAGGATATCTGTATAACCCCTATGAAAGGGTCATTTTGATCTCTAAAGGGGTCAAGACCCACAGGTTGAGAACCTCTGTTCTAAAGGTGGAGAGAATAACCACAGTGTTGAGCTTGCTTTTTCTTTGTTTTTCCTTTATGCTTCTAGAACCTTTTTTATCTTAAGATTCCAAAATCTCATCAACCTATAGGAAAAATTTGAACTGATTTTAACTTTGTTTTGTAATTCACATACACATAAATTGCTAATGAATGTGTCTTCTTAAGAAGTAGCTTTTCCTTGTGTGGGGCTCTGCCTCTCCAGCTCCACCCCAGTCTTTGGGTCTTTGGAATAACTAGGTGATCATTTTCAGTCATGCCTCCATCACCTTCTTGTTGTCTCTGACCCTCTCATCTGAATGCTGAGTAAATATGTCACGACTTTTATTTTATTTAGCATTTCTATTCTCTAGGAATTTTATATTTCTTTTTTGTTTGTTTGGTTTTGGCTTTTGGTTTTTAGACAGGGCTTTTCTGTGTAGCTCTGGTTGTCCTGGAACTCACTCTGTAGACTAGGCTGGCCTGGAACTCATAGAGATCTGCCTGTCTCTGCTTCCCATGTGCTGGGATTAAAGGTGTGCAACACCACTGCCCAGCTCTACTTCATTTTTTTTTTTTATTTAGAAATTATTTTTCACTGTGTTCTGTCTGATAGGTACTATCTTGGCTTCCAAAGACAGCCATTACTTAACCCACAGGACCTCTGAATAAGTGACCTTAGTTGGCAGAAGGAATTTTCCAGACATGATTTTAAGAGATCTGAAATGAAGAGATGATCTTAGATTCAGGCTTCTTAAAATTCTCTACGCACCACCCCTTTCTACCTGAGAAATGTTCACAAATGTCTGGGCATGTCTTTGAGGGATTTTCTAGATTTAGTTAATAAGGTAGGAACATCTACCCTAACTGTGGGGGTGCCATTTCATAGGCTCCTGTGGGGACACCCTTCCATAGGCTGGAGTCCTGGGGGGGAATACAAAGGGGAAAGCCAGCCGAATTTCTTCACTGCTGCCTCCTGAGTGTGGATTCAGTTGATGCTTCACACTCTGCTGGCCGGACTCCCTGATACAGTGGACCATACCTTCACACCATGAGCCAAGAATCCTTAACTTACTTTTGCAGGATATTTTGTCACAGTAACAAGAGAAATACTTAGCACAGTATCTGTGTCGTTAACATAATCAGAAAATTCTGAATTCTGGTCACCTTGATGTCTTTGAGAAGAGATTATGTTCCTGTGTTCACAGTAAAGGGACTAAATCAACTACTATGGAACCCGAGTTGGATGAAAGAGAAAATGGAAAATAGGGAGGGTAATCCAGTGTGTGGGGGGGAATAGGAGGATCAGGAAATTGGATACATTCAAAAGATAGAGGTACTAGCGTCACAGGAAAAGAACTGAAAAAGGAGAAATTATGATGAGTAATTAGAATGTCTCAAGTATTTCCAAAAGCAGGCAGTTCTGGGTGGTTGGAAAAGCCTTGTAGGTGTGATCATGGGTGTGGCCAATTGGGAATGTAAGGGAATAGGTCACTAGAGAGGAAGTCAAGGAAATGACAGGCCAGAAAAGTCAATGAATTGCCTAGAACAAGGGCAAGATTTGGGGAGGAATGGAACACTAAAGGCCAAGTTCTCTGATTTGTAGTGAGGGAAACACTGTGGACTGTGCAGAAGAGGCTAAGAGCTGTAGGATAAGGTCCTCACTCTTCTCCTGGAATGTGGACCTGCTTGTGCAGGCCTGTGATTCCAGTTAAAAGCCCTAGATCCAGTCTCCAGTCCACACACACACACACACACACACACACACACACACACACTATCATATTTGCTTAGTGATTAAAGAATCACAAGAGAAGAGGAAGAAGAATGTGTAATGTCTTCAGGGAATGATTTCTAATTCTAGAAGTTTCCAATGAACTGAAGGTCTCAGGAAGAGAGATTTTTATTTCCCTTTTTCTACTTAGTATGCATACCCACCCATTGTATTCTTCATTTTCTTTTGTTTCCTAACTTTGCTATTTGCTGATGACCTGTATTCTGTTTAAACCACCTCAAACCCTTCTGGACTGACGTTTGAGTATAAGTAGTAGGCAAATATAGTCCAACTGTTTTTGATTAAAAGAAAAGAAAGCATAAACAAATGCCCCACAGAGCAGCATTACTCTATGTTGGAAGGCATACATGTCCTCTAAGCTAATTATATTTTTCTTCTACGGACCAGTGTCAGGTATCCACTGCTTACATTAAGCCTTCCAAGGGGGAAGAAAGTTCTCAAGAGTTGCAGATTGGTAGTTGGATGCTATTCTGGGATTGAAGAGTCCTGGGGGTGGGTTGTGCTAACCACAGGAATGTTGAACAGTACATGCTGGCTTTGACTAGAGAATCTTTGATGCATAGTATGACCTTTGAAAATGTTGGGCCTGATGATCCTTCTGGGAGCTTGTGTTACAAAATGTCTGTCACAGGTCAAAAATACTGTGTGAGGTGAGAAATGAAGACTAATTGGCCAACAATACCATATCCAGAAACTACCTCTGTTTACTAAATTACAAAGCAGAGTAGATTTCAATAGGATAAACACTTCAGTTGCAAAGCTCTGCAAGATTTTTTGGCTGTATTGGGTATTTTAAGGAGTTTTTGTTGTGTGTGGTGCTGTTAAGGAAGTTGTGTGTGTGTGTGTGTGTGTGTGTGTGTGTGTGTGTGTGTGTGTGCGTGTGTGTGTGTGTGTAATGTGGTTTTTCTTGTAGACTTCAATGACATAGAACCACCAAGCAGAGAGTCCATTTATTTGTCTCACTGTCTTTAATCTTGAGTACTAAGTGACCAGTGTGGCTGTTGGACATTATTCTGGGTCAGATTCTCAAATTCTTTGCTGTTATTTTATTTTTTCATTTGCAAATGTTATAGGAGTCTTGTGTTGTCTGTCCATTTTTAAAATTGGATCTGTGGTTTCTTTTATTCATTCACTCATCTTCTTTCTCAGTTCACAGCCATGAACGAACCCCAGTGCTTCTACAACGAGTCTATCGCCTTCTTTTATAACCGGAGTGGGAAATACCTTGCCACAGAATGGAACACAGTGAGCAAGCTGGTGATGGGACTGGGGATCACTGTCTGTGTGTTTATCATGCTGGCCAACCTACTGGTCATGGTGGCAATCTACGTCAACCGCCGCTTCCATTTTCCTATTTATTACTTGATGGCCAATCTGGCTGCAGCAGACTTCTTTGCTGGATTGGCCTACTTCTACCTGATGTTCAACACAGGACCCAATACTCGGAGACTGACTGTTAGCACATGGCTCCTCCGGCAGGGCCTCATCGACACCAGCCTGACGGCCTCTGTCGCCAATCTGTTGGCTATTGCCATTGAGAGGCACATCACCGTTTTCCGAATGCAGCTCCATACACGAATGAGCAACAGGCGTGTGGTGGTGGTGATTGTAGTCATCTGGACTATGGCCATTGTGATGGGTGCCATACCCAGTGTGGGCTGGAACTGTATCTGTGATATTGATCATTGCTCCAACATGGCACCCCTCTATAGTGACTCCTACTTAGTCTTCTGGGCCATTTTCAACCTGGTGACCTTTGTGGTCATGGTGGTTCTCTATGCTCACATCTTTGGCTATGTCCGCCAGAGGACTATGAGAATGTCCCGGCATAGTTCTGGACCCAGGAGGAATCGGGACACCATGATGAGCCTTCTGAAGACTGTGGTCATTGTGCTTGGTGAGTTCTGTCTTGACTGTTGTCTCCTTTATAGATTCCCAGTGTTGTCATGTAGCCACACTAATTTATGATAATGTAAAAAAAGAGTGTGAATATTTACCAGGTATATATGCAGCATTATGCAAGAACAGGGAAATTTCATTTTGAATGTCTATGGCAATGTCAGAGTACCAGTCATTTTTACAGTTATAGAATTGGCTAAGTACTGGTCTCAGTGCTATAGTGTAAATAATGAAATGAAAGATATCATAGAAGATTTTCCCTCCCTAGAATTGAGAATACTATAACATTCAAGTCCTCTCACCACCAAAATCAAGGCAAATAAAAGCCTCACAATAACTGGTTTTATTTAACTTTAAAAAAGATTTTATTAGAGTCCACACCATAAGACTTTTACCCTGAACATTGTTTCACAGATGTTCAAATATATGGTGCTTTATATGATATGAACATCCTTTATGCTTTCCTACATAGTTATTTATTACTCTAAGTCTACATGCTATAATTATTTATTTTATTTTATTTTTGAGAATTTGATCTATGCATACAATGAAATAAGATTATATGTATCCCTACTTCCTCCTCCAGTTCTTCCTATGTCTCCCCAACATGCCCCTCCCAACTTCATGTCTTTGATTTTGTTGTTCATTTATTTTAAATTTTTTTGACAACCTACTAATTTCAGTGTGCATGGATGTGGGAAAACTACCAGTATTCACTGCCTCCATATACAACGATTCTTTGTCCTCTGACAAGGCTCCATGAACAATAGCTCCTCAGTATGGAGTGAGTGGGTCCTGATGATCATCCACCCATCTATGCTGAGATGATCTTGTTAATCCTTTGGCTGTCTTGATCTTGTGAAGGCCTTGTGCAGGTAACCACTGCTGCTTTGGGGTCATGATTTAGATACCCCTGTCATGTACTGAGGCGGCATTTTTCAGCACCCATCTCCATCCTCTGGCTCTTACGTTCTGTCTGCCTCCTCTTCTGTGATGTTTTCTCAGCCTTGATGGAGGAGCCAGATGTTCTTTTTAGGGCTGAGCACTCAGGATCTCCTTCTCAGCACTGTGACCAGTTCTGCATCTCTCTGTTGACTGCTGTCCACTGGGAAAAGAAACTTTTCCTGACCATGGTGGAGAGCCCCCAGGTCTGTTGGTAGCAGAAGCTGGGCAAACTCTCTATAATTCTTATCAAATTGTAGGCAAATAGACCAAGGTTTTATAGAAATCTATGGCAGTAATCCATATCTCTTCATGTTAATAGATATTAAGTCACAATTCAAAGTAAAGATTAGAATGTTATTCCTTCTATAAACTAAAATAATCTTTTGTTGTTGATTTTAAAAATTCAAATATAATTATATCATTTCTCCCTCCCTCTTCTCCCTGTAATCTGTTGCATGTTCTTCCCCCATATCTATCTATCTATCTATCTATCTATCTATCTATCTATCTATCATCTATCTATCTATCTATCTATTTATCTATCATCTATCTATCTATCTATCTATTTATCTATCATCTATCTATCTATCTATCTATCTATCTATCTATGTCTTAATATATTAATATAACCTGCTCAGTTCCTTTAATGTTTCTTGTACGTATATCATTTTATGAGCAGTTATGGAGCTCATCCTTGAAGAAAACAATTTATCTCACTCTCAGCATTTTTTGACACAGGCTAACATTGAACTTACTATGTATAGCCCAAATTGACCTTATCTTGTGGCTCCTGCCTCAGTCTCCTGAGTGGTGAGATTATAGGCATGAATTACCAAAGCCAGTTTTAAACTCAAATAACTTTTACCTTCAAGTTTCAAGTTTAAGTTTTCCTAGATTAAAAAAAAAAACTCATGGTAGTGATCAGTGTGAATATATGTATACATACTTGGAAAACAGTTCTAGAAAACCCAATATGTTCTAGGCACTACCATCGCACCTGGAGATATAACTGCTAAAGAACATTTGGAGGACATTTCTTTTGGAGTGTAGAGTAGCTAAAATGTTCACTTGGTGATAATTTGTTTAAATAATTACCTAGTTGAATCACATCTTTAAAGACTGTATTGAGGTTAATGTTTGATTACATCTATTAATTTTAAAATATACCCATATAAGCTGTGTGTTGGTGGCACACTCCTTTAATCCCAGCACTCGGGAGGCAGAGGCAGGTAGATCTCTGTGAGTTCAAGGCCAGCCTGGTCTCCAGATCAAGTGCCAGGATAGACTCCAAAGCTACTCAGAGAAACCCTGTCTTGAATAAACAAAAACGACGCCACCAATAAAATCCCTGTTAGAAAAACAAACCATAGCTTTTTTAGTGGCTGGGGATATAGCTGTGTTGTAGACTCTCTTTCCTTTTTTTCCTTTACTTTTTTAAAATTGAAAATGTATTTTTTCATATAGTAAGTATATTCTGGTCATGTTTTGTCCTCTCTAATTCCTCCTAGATTCTCCCTCCCTCTCCACCCACCAAAATCCACACCCTTTCTTTCACTCTGTCATTAGAAAATAAACAGGAAACTAAAAAACAAAAAAAAAAGGAAAAAATAAAGAAAGGAAAGAGTCAAAGTAAAAGCACAAGACACACATACAGATGCTGATGTACACACAGAAATTATGTAAAAACACAAAGTGGGAAACTATAGTATATAAGCAAAAGACCTGTTAGGTTACTATATATATTAATTATATTATAACATTAATATATATGTATATATATATGTATATATATGTATATAATATATATCCTAGATAAAGAATTATGAGACAACAACACTCCAAAAATATTATTGGGTTTATTTTGTGTTGGCCTCCGCTTAAGTGTGTTTTGTATACCCAGTGAGATTTTGTTGGAGAAAACTTAACTTTTCCTCTGTGACTAGTTGTCAACTGGAGATAGTTTCTGGGTGAGGGATGGGGCTTGTGTCCACTTCCCCTCTCAGCACTGGGACCCCATCTGGCTTTGAACTGTACAGGTCCTGTACATGCTGCTACAGTCTCTGTGAGTTCATATGGGCATGTTGTGTCTAGAAGGCCTTGTTTTCTTGGTGTCTTCCATCTTCAGTCTTTCCCCCTTCTCTTCTACAAAGTTCCCTGAAGGGAGGGATTTAATGGAGACAGCCCATTTAGGACTGAATGTTCCAAGGTCTTTCATCCTCTATACATTGTCCAGTTGTGGGTTTCTATTTGTTCCAATCTACTGTAGGAGGAAGCTTCTCTCATGATGGTTGAACAAGTCACTGATCTATGAGTATATCACAATGTCATTAGGAGTCATTTTATTGCTGCACTCCTTTAGTAGAACAGCAGTATTTGGTTTTCCCCTAGGTGCATGGCCTATCTAGTTGAGGGTTCTTGGTCACTTAAGCATTGTTGGGCATAGGCTCCATCTCATGGAGTAAGGCTTAAATCCAATCAAATAGTTGTTGGTTATTCCTAAAACTTTTGTGCCACTGTTACACCAGCATATCTTGCAGGCAGGTTATCATTGTAGATTGAAGGGTTTGTAGGTTGCTGAGTACCTTCAGTACCAGGAACAATAATCAGTAGGGATGAAGGCTCTAGGGAAGTACCAGCTCAACTTCTCCCCAATGGGTGACTTGTGTAGATGTTGTCCTCAGCAGTAGAGACTTACTATCAGTTTGTGGAGAGCAATCAATAGCCTTGGCAATATCCTAGGCCTTTTGGGAATTTCCATGGGGCCCCTGGGGCTAACAACTCAATTAGATATAATCCATGCCTGCTACTGAGGGTTTTATTTGGTGTTGAGATATAGACTTTTTCTAGCAGATTTAAGACCTCATATTAGATCCCTAGCCATGCAAACACACAGACAAACAAACAATTTCATCTTTGCTACAGAAGTTGAGTGCAAAGGTCCTGTAATCCTGAACATTCAGGCAACATCCTCACTGGGGACACCATCGCCTCAGACACGAGATGTCTGATTCCATCCAAAGGTCAATGAGCACAAGAGCAGCTTCTTCCTTGTTTAATTACAGCAATGCCTTTGAGCATCTCTGTGCCACCAGACAGCTTCACCTGATCTGAAGAAAACACATTTCAGTTTCCCATGGATACAATTTGTGTGTGAGACATTTTGCTTTCATATTGACTCAGACATTTGTTTTCTGGACACTGTGAATAACAAATCAATTTTATTTTGATTTATTCTGGGCTGGCTATGACTCATCACTTGTGTGGATAGCCTTTGGTTTTGCTGTATGGGAATGGTCATGGCATTTAGACCTGCTCAGTGTTTATGTTCAAACAAGCATTCGTTGGTCAACAATTGAGTTTCTAGAGAAGGCACATCTTGGAGTTTTACAATGGCAGCATCAGTTGGAACTCATGAGTGTGCAGATAGCTGCTTTTGAGTGAGCACTGGATGTTAATAAGAATTTTATTTCAAATCTGAACAGCATTACTTGCTTACCCAGCACTAAGACTATCTTGGAGGTTTAGATTTGGAAATAACAACCCTGCAGAACATGGGTACCATGATGAACTTGCTATCTTTTCCCTGAGTGGTGAAAAAGGAAGTCTGGGGACTCTAGGTAGCTTGCCTGAAGTCACACAGGTAGTAAGTGTAGGAGCTGGAATTGCATACAGCTCATGCCTTGGGTTCCATGATCTGTGTGTCTTTTTTACCTTCACATCATGCTGTATCTCAAGAGTAAAACTATCCCATGTCTTCTAGGAGAGTTTGCAGGCCAGTAGGCTTTTTGTATTGATCCTGATACTTTTCTTTGATAGTGCCAAATCCTGCCTTTGCCTTGTTTCCAGGAGCAAAGAAAGCCTTCAAGGTGTGTTCTTTCTCTTCCTTCTAATGACCCTTGGGATTCACATGTATTCCACCATTTCCCATGATTTGGTATTACAGCCTCCATAAACCAGCTGCTTCTCCCTGAGGGAATGTTTTGTTCAAGGTGTAGGTGACTCCCCGTTCCTTGTCCCAGTATGAAGCTAGAGAACCCTTCCCCAGCTCAGGCT